CAGGGTTGATCTAACCCCACACACCCCTTTCCTCCCCACTCCTCTTCCACCACAATGGACTTACCAGATGGAGGCAGCTCTCCATGCTGTATTGGTAATAGGATCAGTATTGGCCGATATTCCTCCTTAAAAATCGGATATTGGTATCAGCCCCAAAAATCTCTATCGGTGCACCCGTACTGTTAGGAGTTCCCCTTGGTTTGTTAACAGAGGACCCACAGCTTCCTTGGTCCTTCTTTTCTGAGCAGTATACTTAAAGAACCTCTTCTTGTTGACCTTAACCTCCTTTACCAGGTGCAGCTTTATCTTTGCCTTCCTGATGTTGTCCCTGAAGATTCTGGCTATTTGCAGGTATGTTTTCTTGGTAACCACTGTCTGTTTTTGAGGCATTTTAGGAGCTCCTTGTGCAGCCATTTTGGTCTCTTGCTAGTCTTCTTGTGCTTTCACTGTGTCAGGACAGTTTCTTGTTGGGCTTCCAATACTGTGGCCTTTAGAAGCTCCCAAACTTCCTGGGCACCTTTATCTTTCATCTATCTTCCCACAGCACTATGCCTATTCACAACTTGAGTCAGATGAAATCTGCCTTTTTGAAATCTAGTGTCCTAATTTTGCTAACTTCATGCTTTTTCTGTTGCAGGATCTGGAATTCTATTGTATTGTGATTGCTTCTTCCCAAATTATCCAATACTTTCACATCCTATACCAGTTCTTGCCTGTTGGTCAGGATAAGATCTCCATGCATCTGACTCCCAGGTCCTCCAAGGCAAGACAGTAGGCCAGACAAAGTGTTTTCTCATCCATACACATTTTTTCAGGTTTGAAACAGATGGAAGATTATACAAATTTAACCTAGCAATCAACAGTTTCCCTCCAGTTCATGTTCAAAAGGATTTTCTGTAAAATGTATAACTTGGCCATACATGGTCAGATTTTCTGGAAGCCAGAAAGACTGCACACAATCCTCAAAGTTATTTCTTCCATACTCCATATTTCAATGTCTTTCTCCAAACTGCAAAGATTCTACAATGTTTCAAAAAAACTGAAAAATAAATTTGTGTCGTTTAAACTGAATATTTTCCACTAATTCTCTCAGGAACAGCTAAACCTTTTCTCTGCAAATTCTTTAAAGAAAAAAAAAGAAAAGGAAGCTGCCATGACATGGGCACTAAAGTTTGGTAATGTTGCAACAACTGAAACAGAAGTATTTGTGTTAATTGAGTGTCCTTGTGATAGAGTAAAGTATGAACCTTTGAATGAGCTAAATTTTGAGGGGGAAAGCATAGCTGTTTGCAAGTATTTGAATAGCACAGATAACAAGGAAGAAGAAAATTTATTTAGGGTGAAATGAGTGAAAAATAAAATAGGTAGAAAAGTTTATAATAATTGAAATTCGAGGCCACAGATTTAACTCAGATTCAGTAAAGTAACTTCAGTCACTCCTGTGTTTTAGCAAGTGTGAGGAGAGGGACTGCTTGAAAACCCAAGCCACTAGAAATCTCAGAGCATTGTTTTGAAGATGTATCTACACTCTATCTACAGCAAAAAGCTCTTTCTAAAGAGACCCAAGGAAGGACGACTTGCATTTGAAATCTTGTCTGACTTTATCTCAACGACACAGTTGGTCCAATGAAATCACCCTAAGAAATCCTTGCCTATCATCTACTTACCAGACCATCATAGCTACATCACTTACAATACCATCCACAGCAAACAGGTTTTTTTTATATGGACCTTCCTCCGTGATTTATACATATCTAAACAATGAAACAAGGCCAAAGGAAGTCAAGGAGCCACACATTTAACCTCTTTTAAAAGGGAATTGTTTCAGAATAGCAGGGCAATTAACTTTTAAAATAGAACATTCTCAAATACTGTAATCTTACTTACTGTTCATAAGCTTCTGTGTAATTATAACAAGGCTTCAAATCCTTAGTTCTGATTTGATCAGTAATATTTATTCTCTCATTAAAGTGCTGACATGAACCCTGAATGCCATCTTTATTATCCAAAATCATATGCACAGGATAAATATCATCTAGAGAGACAGGGTCTCTCTTTGTCTCCAATATTCCTGTTTCAAGATCAATTTCTTCATACCTAAAAGTCAAAGCAGAGAGTGAGCCAATATTTATAATTTTAAAGTTATCAGCCAAAAGAAACTTAAATCTTTGTTAGAGTCACTGAAATGCTGCAAGTCTTAACGGAAGTCTTGCAAAGAAATATGAATTAAAAATCTTACAGATGTTGAAGCTAGAAACACAGGAAAATAAAGTGCGGGGTTACACTTTTCAGACAAGATAAAATGACAAGTCAAACCTTTTCAACATTTGGACATATTGTAAAGGCCTATTTATTCTTCCAATTTTACCCTGAGGTGACAGGAGCAAAGCCATACGTTTCTTAGAAGGAAAACAATATTCACTTCTGTCATATTAATTTGACCCTATTTTCTGTATGTATATATATTTTGTGTTTTAGATGGGCATATTGGATTAACCCAGAGCTAAAATGACAAGAGACCTCAGCACTAATGCTCAGTGTTGCAGTGTCTATTGGAATTCACAGTCCTGAGTTAAGCACCTAAGATCCCAGTACAATACATGAGGAGAATTAGATGCCTAAGAATGGGAACCACCGAAACTAGTAGGAATCTGATGATATTATTTCATAGGCCCTGCATTTGGGGGGGGGGGGGGGGGTAAAGGAGGCCATGGTTCTGACCCCTACTTCAAAAACATGTATACATTTCACATGAAAAGATGTTGGGTAAAATAAGAAATTGGATAAAGTAAATAAGTAGTCCTTGGGAATTCCCAAATAAATGCCTCAGCCACCACATTAGTTATATGTACTGTTGCCCTCTTTGGCTCAATGTTCTTTAAGTATTCCATAAAAATATCAAAACAATCTCAGCAGAAGGATCAAGAGTGCTCCTGTTCCTGCAGAGCTTTTAGCTTATGGTTACTGCACTCTCCTCAGAGGTTAGAATCCCCTCAGAAAGCAGTGTTCCACTTCCTGGGTGAGCATTCTAACAACTGAGTTATTACATGGGGGAGAGGCGTTACAGAATCTCCTCTGGCCCCACCTGAAGGAAAGCAACAATCACTGTTGCATTCTACAAAAAGTCTGTTTGATAGCTGTGCTCCCAGAATACCTTTCTGAGTGGCCCCTGTAGCAAGAGATGGAGACGAATATCTTGAAAACAAATTCATTTGGGATGCAGGCACAAGACAGATTTGACAACATTAGATGCTCAAGCACCTGGCAAACTATCGGAAAAGCCCAGCATCCAAATTTTAGACATCTCAAGAACTTTAGTGTTGAAAACTTATGCAACTACAGACTTTAGGCAGAAAGACAACAGCAGAGTACAAATGTGGATTTTAATTCTGAACTTCAGCAAATTCATACTATAAGGTTTTGCTGGTTTAGTTGTGTCGATCACAGACATGAAAAGATGACATATCCAACACAACGGTTATGCCAGCAAAACCTCAGGTGTAGATGTCAATGATAAATGCTCCTGATTTATTGAATAAGACAATTTATAATGGTAGGAAAAACTTTCTCTTGGCATAAGCTGGTGCTTCACTACATGGCTCTGACAGCACAGCAGTGCCAATAGAACTGTATAAACAAGGTTTTGCAGTACAGACAGGCCCTAAAAAACACCAGATCTCCAGAATCACAACCTTTCACAGGCGAGCCTATGAGCTTCTTTTCATCCCTCTACTGGATACAAAAAATCATGGACTAAATATAGACATTGGATTTATTACATTATAACCCGTTTAACATCTGACTCCCCAGGTAAACCCTCCACTTTTTACTAGCTATATTCATTCCCTGCCATTGACTACAGCTACATTCTTTCCCCTCCCCCCCCCCAACCTCTCTCTCATCTATTGACCACCTCAATATACATTTTAACTAACTGGCTTTCTTGCATACTACTGGCATCTGGCTGTTTTACTACATCCAGAAAGAACACAGACCATCTGCAGACACTTCCTCTGCCCGATGAAGGGCAATTGTACCCAAAAGCTTGCAAAGAAGAATGTTTCCAACTGTTTGAGTTGGTCTAATAAAAGACATCAGATTTACTTAAATAACCTTATCCGCCTATGTTCTTAGACCAACATGGCTACAGCCTACACCCCTGACAACTTTGTTTGCAACTTTAAGATTGGGGGGAGGGGGGGGGGAAGAAGGGGGAAGAATCCAAGGAGAGGCAAAGGATAGGGAACCAAATACATGAGTAACCACTGTCCCTTGCATGTGTGGCTTGACTGTTGCATCCAGCATATGTTACTTTATTTCAGAATATTCTAGACCAAGCTGTAGCATTGAGTGGATCCACTTGATCCTCAGCCACCAAAGATTTTTTTTTTTTAATGTTTTTTTTCCACCCAGAAAGCCATGAGCTCCACGGAAGCTGCTGGGCATCTCTCTTGATTCCCCCAAAGAAAGAGGTGGTCCTTCCCAACCACAGGAGACAGCAGGGACAGGGCCGCACTTGCGGGCTCCAGTTCACAGGCGCCTTTCCGAGGCGTGCATTAGCACACCCTGTGCCCCGGCCCCGCCGGGAGAACTATCCGCACACCATCCCCCAACTAACACACGCTGCTGCCCGGGGCGGGCGGGACGCTGCCTGCCCCTTTCCTCACCGGTCATGCAGGCGGAGTGGGGGGCGCTCGCTGGGTAAGAGGTGGAAGCTGAGGTCGGCGCGGGTACTGAGCGTAGCCCACAGAAGCTGCTGGGTGGAGGGCTCCACAGGCAGCGGGAAGGGCGGAAGACGGGTCCCCAGGCGGTGCCACAAAGTGCCCAGCGTAATCCCATCCAGGCCCTCTAGAGCCACCTCGTCCAACAGGGCCCAAAATGCCTCCATACCGCCGCGGCGGCGCGGAATCCAACCAGCGCTCCTGCCACCACCGCAAACTGCAAGGAAGAAGAAGAGGGGAGCGCGCGCACTTCTACTTCCGGGTTTGTAACTTGTAGCTCCGGAAATGAGGTAACTCCTCGCGACGGTAACCCAGGAAACTGGTAAATAGGGAGCGCGGTGGTTAGTTATGGTAAGTCTGTGGGGTGAGGTGGGAGTGAGCGCGGGAGGCCTGGGGGGGGGCTGAACAGCGCCCCGTGGGGCG